CTGAGTGAATCCTAATGTAAACTATGGACTTGGGTGATGACGATGTGTCAATGCGGGTTCCTCAGTTATAAAAATGCACTGCTCTGGTGGGAAGGTTGGTAATGGGGGAGGCTGTGCGTGTGTGGGGGCAGGGAATACTGTATTTTGCCATGTATAATGCGTACTTTTTGCTCATACTTTTGAGGGCAAAATAAGGATGCACATTATGCATGGGTATAATGATTACATACCATGGGTGTAATAATCCCGTGTATAATGTGCACAAAACATGGGTGCACATCATACACGGCAAAATACATTATGTGGGAAATCTCTATACCTGCCCTTCAATGTGGCTGTGAACTAAAACTGCTCAAAAAAAATTAAAGTCTTAAATTTTTAAAAATGATTACCTACTTTTGTTTTACAGATTTTACTCCTTTTATCTCTTTGAGCACCCGAAATGCTCTTACTTTTTGTCTCTTTTTATATTTTTTTTATTGTTTCTCTTTCCTCATGTGTCAACTCCTCCATTCATGTGGGAGGCTTTTCTTCCTATTGGACTTCCTCAAATGCTTTATAATGTGTTATAATACTATTTTTAAATTTTTAAAATTTTTTATAGTTGTTCAGTTACGATTGTCCCTACTTTCCCCCGTTACCCTCCGCTGCCCTGCCCACCCCTCACCTGCCACTTTCAATCCTCTCCCCTCCCCCGTTCTCTTTGTCCATGGCTCCTTCATACCTGTTCCTTGACTTGACCCCTCCCCTTCTTTGATAATTCATATTCTTTTATATTCTTCACATTGGTCTTCCTGAAATGTGTTCTAATTGTGTGAGAGCTCCCCCTGCGTGGGAATCACCTCTCAGGTGCGGTGGTGGAGGTGCTCCCCCTAGTGGTCCCACCGGGGCCCGCGATCGCGGACATCTCGCCAACGCTGCCTCTCCAGGAGTCTTCCGGACTCACAGTTCTCAGCTGTCTTTCTCAGTTTCTACCTTAGAGTTTCTGCACTTCGTGAGAGGTGAAAGTTTAAACCCCAGGTGCAAGGCCAGCTTGTTCTCTTTTCTTGTGGGTGATTCTATTTCTGCTCATGGCCTAGGACGTTTTTTAACTCATAAGCTGTAACTTCTCTCCCAACTTCCCGCTGTGTTCAGGTCCGAAGGCTTTGGTTCTTGTTCTCCCATGACCGTTCTCGCCAGCGCATCCATGGCCATGTGTGTAATAGTCCCTAAAACACTGCCCACCAGGGTGGGTACAGAACTACCGGTTCATTTATGGCGCCTTGAGATTCAACGTTCTTGTCCTTGAAATCAAATATATATTTCCGTGACATATATATGAAATGCATACATGCGACATATCTATATTCAGCATTTCTGGACGTTCAGGAAATTTCACGTGGTCCTGGGCAAACTATTTAACCTCTGTGTGTCTGGCTTCTTCGCCATAAGACTGCAGTGACGATTAAACAAGTTAACTCATGTAAAATGTTAGGACAGAGGCTGACCCGAAGGTGGTCAACTGATGTAATGGGAATTATTTGTGCTTCTGCTCAGTTCTTCTTGACCAGGCCCAGTCCCATGCCTTTATGTATTTCAAATATATTTTTAAAATAACAACACAATTTTTAAAAATTTCAAACATTGAACTTTCTCTCCTCTCTGCACTTCCAACAGCAAACTTTACACAGGAAGTTAGTAGATAATCTTTTAAAAAATTCTCTTATAATCAATTAAACTTGTTACACTTGAACGTTCAGTTACCACCAAAGCACAATTATAATAATCACCTTAAAACAATGGGCTTATGGTTATTAAGTCCATTCATGATCTATCAAAAGTTATCACCCAGAAAACATTACAAAACTTACTGGTCAAGACCATTTTGGTCTTGAAAAGGATTTCTCTTGTCTTACCCATTCAGGCTGCTATCACAAAGTACCACAGATTTGGGGGCTCCTAAACAATAGAAATTAATTTCTCACAGTTCAGGGGACTGGGAAGTTGAAGGTCAAGGCACTGGCAGATTCTGTTTCTGGGGAGAGCCCACTTCCTGGTCCACAGCTGGCCAACGCCCCTCTGGAGGACGGGACAAGGGAGCTCTCTGGGCTTTCCCTTAGCAGGGCACTAACTCCAACCAGGAGGGCTCCACCCTCTGGCCCCTCCCTCAGCACCTCCTGCAGGCTCCACCTCCTCATCCCGTCACCTTGGGAGTTAGGTTTCAACATACCAGTTTTGAGGGCACACAGACATTCAGACTATGGCTCTCAGGATCATCCCAGAATATTCCCACAGCAGAACAACAGGCAATCATTAAAAAGAGTGAAGACCTTTAAGGTGTGTTGCATTGGAACACTGCCAAGACCACAGAGACAGAAGAGCACGTATATGCTGCGGTCCAGCCTAAATAAAACACAGATATGTGTGAGTGTGTGTGCGTGTGTGTGTGTGCACGACAGAGAGGGAGATTATGCAGAGAGAACATTTCTAGAATGCTCACGAAACTGCAAACAGAGGTTATATAAAATGTTTTCGAGAAGAAAGTGACAAGCTCTGGGCTGTGCCAGCAGTTCACATGGCAGATGGAGCAGGGCGGGGTGGGGAAGCCGGAAGCCACTGGGAGAGGGAGGACCCAGGAGACCGTTTAGAGGACATTGCAGCGGCCTGGGTCAGAGTTGATTGGGCCTCTTCAGAAGCAGAGACAGAGTAGAAAAGACACAAAGAAATGAGATTGACGTTTGAGGTGCTCCCAGCGGTACCCCCAGCGCCTCGCACAGTACCTATACCCGCCAGGTGCTCCACAAACGCATGAAATGGATCCTCTCCCACGTAAAGACTTACCATTCCAGCTCCCAAAAGCATCCCTCTGCGCACCTCAAGAGGCAAATCCCACAGACGCTGTCACCCTCTTCCCGGAGCTCACTCCCCCAGCCCTGGGCCTCAGCGGGGTCAGGAGACAGAGCCCACAGGCAGGCGAGGCTGGGGTGCGGGAAGGGCAGGCGCGCTCTGAGCTGGGCCCTGTTCACATGTGGCAGGAGAGGTGTCCCCAAAAAGCTGCGGGGCCCTGCTTCCCTCAGGAGATAAGGGAAGGCAGGAAAATCACTAGTGAGAAAGGTGGAAAGCCAGCCAAGAAAACCAGGTCTAACCCTACCCACACACACGCACACACAGGCAAGCCCACACCAGCTACCATCACTCGTTGCACTTAGGAGGTGCTTAAAATAGATTTCTTTTCTTCTCTCTTTTTTTTTTTTCAAACTGAGTAAGACAAAGAAAGAAGAGTGAGTAGGAGGAAAAGGAATCTCAAGAGTGTGGCATACGAGGACCAGTTGAAAGAAAGAGAACTGATGTTCCTGAAAAACAGGGCATTCCGTGGCCACTCCTCCCAGACCCCCGTAAGTGAAGGGTCAGCGGGGAGCCTTTGGTGGCGGGGTAGTGAGGGGGAAGAGGGAATAGTTGTATCATCCTGGTATCTTCTGAGCCTAACGTGGGGTCTGGCTTATCGTTTCCTGTTCAAATGTTTGTTGAAGGGATGAATAGATAAATGTGTGGATTAATGGGTAGATGAGTAGGTGGATGGGTGGATGGATGGAAGGATGGATGGGTCAGGGGGGTAGATGGATGGACGGATGGGTAGATTGATGGAAGGATGGACAGTGGATGGATGGATGGCTGGGTGGGTAGATGGGTGGATGGGTGGGTGGGTGGGAGGGTGGGTGGATGGATGCATAGATGGATAGAAAAGAGACTACTTCTACCTGGCTTTCAGAGCCGTAACTGAAACCACTGTTGTATGGCAATCAGGTGGCTGTGATGGGCAGCTTTCAAAGATGGCCCTCAGCAACCCTTCCTCTTGGCATTCACACCTTTGTGTGATCCTCTACCTTTGCATGTTGGCTGGAGCTGCTGACTTCCTCCTAAGGAGCAGACTGCAGCAAAGTGATGGGTGTTATCGTGTGAGGAGGTTACAGAAGACGGCGACTCCCGCCTCCTGGACTCTCTCTGCTGCACACGCTGGTGACAGGCTGCCACAGCGCAGAGAAGCAGGCCAGCAGCCGCGAGGAGCCGAGGCCCTCGGTCCAGCAGCTCACAAGGAACACGGTGCTGCCAACGACCCTGAGTGCGGAAGGCGATCCTTCCCCACGGAGCTTTGCGACGTGGCCCCAGCCTTCCTGGCACGCTCACGCCGGCCTGCAAGGGCCCCCGTTTGAGCTGTGCCAGACTCGGGTCACGGAAACCGTGAGAAGCAAATGTGTGCTGTTTGAAGCCACTCCGTTTTGTGTTACTTGGCTGCCAGCAATCCGTAGCTAATACAGTGGCTTATTGGAGTTTAACACTAAAATGGACATTCTGGTGGTTAAACCAGGCAAGCCACGGCAGTGGTTAAGAGCGTAGGGTTTGGAACGATTCCTGAGTGGGAATCTTGGGTCCCCTACTTACTAGCTGTGTGGCTTTGGGCAAGATGGTCAACTCTCCGAGCCTCTGTTTCTGCATCTTTAAAATCATCATAATTCTCCACTCGTGGCGGTCACACAAGGAGTACATGAAGTGATTATGTAAAATATCAAGCCCGGAACTTGTCACTGAATAGAAGGTAGCTGTTAGAAAAGAAGAATAATAGTGAAGCGCGTTCCTCCCAAAGCAGCAAGTGCCCCATTTCTGGACATGATCAAGCTGAGGCGTGATGGCCACATGCAGGAAGTGAACGGACGCCTAGAGGACCCCGGGCCCTTTCCCAAGCTTCAGGTTAGAGAGCTGTGTGGTGGCCTGGCCAAGGCCAAAGGGCAGGGGGGATCGGGGTGCTGAGGACCGTCAGGGTTACCTTGCACCAGGGACCAGTACCAGGGGTAGTCGGCCTGCACCGTGGGCGGCACCTTCCCTCCTGCACAGCCGTTGGGCCCTCATGGGGCCCAGGAAGGTAAACACCCAGCCAGGAAGTGATTGTCGCGGGCATGGGGCCAGCTCGGGGCCGAGGCAGGTCTGAAGGTCAGGAATGCCTTCCAGGGAGCCTTTTCCCAGAAAGGACAGGCATTTGCCTGTGGGCTCTTGGGGACAGAGCAGAGGCCGTGTGGACCTCACAGGGGACAGGCCAGCCTGCTCCAAGGCCCCCGGACAGGACAGAGGACAGGAGAGGAGGAGCGGCCAGGAGGCACGACTGCTGGGACTACTTACTCACTGGCAGGTGAGCCAAGAGTGTCGGTATTTTTTTGTTAAATGAGATGAAACGCGAGATGGAATGGAGGTTGCAGCCAGGACGGGATGGGGAAGAGCCCAGCAGGCGTCCAGGAGAGGAGACCACTGCCTACCACTCATGGAGGGGCAGCTCCAAGAAGCAGCCCAGATCTTGCTCCCGAGATCCAGGCTAGTCTTGGCTCAGGCGCCACGCTTCCAGCCAGGACTCAAGTTCGCTGGTTTTGAACTGGGCTGATGTTTCCTTCTGGTGCCTCTCCTGGGGTGGCCATGGGGCCAAGGGAGACAATAAGCAGGACTGGCGACAGCACTTGCAGGGCCGCATGCAAAGGAAGCACGTGGGCCCCGCATTCAAAAGTTATTATGAGTTTTGAGAATGAAGGATTGGAAAATTATTGAGAACGGCAACATAAGTGCCTTAAAGCAGGGGAGCGGCTCTTCTAAGAGCAGGTTCCCGTGTGAACGCACCGGCCACAGCCCATGGCCCTGGTCCTGATAACAGACGCGCCGTATGGCCCCGGAGACGTGCCAAACACACCGTGATTGCTATGAGCCCGCGGCGCTGATCTCAGGGTCAGGAAGTGCGCGTGGGGAGTGAAAGTCACAGCCGCCAAGGAATGGCCCTCAGCAAGGCCAACCCACTACGTCGCCCCCTGCTGCTCAGGGCCCCCCTTCCACAGGACAGGAGGCTCCGCCCCTCTGAACTTCTGGACTGGCGCACCTGGCTGGCAGCAGGCCAATCAAGGTGTGACTCGGATGCCTGGGCACAGCATTCTCCTGGGTGTGGTGGGCTGGGCTCTTCTTTTCTTTCTTGACCTGAAGTTCAGGACGTTCACAGTCACTGGCTAAACGGAACAGGACTTGTGGTCCCTGTCCCTTGGCCAATCGTGCTGTGTTCTGACGACGACCAACACATCTCTGGCTTTTGGAGAAATGCTTGTGTTAATGCAGTGAGACCACTGGTGGGGGTGTGCCAGTCCCCCCCGCCCCCCTCCCGTCACCTCTGTCCTCCCCGCCCCTTCTCCCTCTCCACTGCCCCGCCCAGGTTTCCCTTGCCTCTTCCCTCCAGCCGCACCTCGTGCCGCCCAACAGAAACCAGTGTCCCCGTGGGTGTCTGAAACTTTCCAGTCTGTGACAGCCAACAATAACCACTTTCCTTGACGCCTTGCCAGAGTCCAAATTGTCTTGAAAGCCCCACCCTTGGAGGGGCTCCCCACGGGAGGGGCGGGGCGGCCCCAGCGGCCATAGATGGAGGGCAACAGCAGTGGGCCAGGGGCGGGCCGCTCTGGCCCAGGCCAGGGCAGCCCAGGACACCTCCACCAGGGGACGCCCCAGCCCAGAGACTCAGCACAAGAGGCCAAATCTGCCGCCCGCCTGTTGGCTCACCCGGGACACTGGAGCCGCTGTGTGTCTCAATGGCCCATCAGCCCGCCAGCCTGAGATCAGACACCGCATCTCCCAGGATGGGGTCTTTCCCCCCTCCGCAAGCCCAATGCCTCCCCAGAAAGTGGGTTACCCCTGACCTTCTGAGGTTACCCGCAGCACCTAAAATGGCAACAATCCCTTCCTCAAGTCATTGCTGAGCACCTCGGCAGGCGAGGCTTCGCAGAGGCGCTCGGGGCGCAGAGGGGACAGCCAGAGGCCGGAGGCCAGGGCAGGGGCCCTTCCTCCGCAAGGGGGCCCCCAGGGCGCCCCCTCATCCCAGGAAGGGTCATGGGGCGGTGAGGCATTTTGGCCAACTGAGGCGGGAGATACATCTCTGAGCCTATGGGTCATCTCTATTCAGCGTGGGCCTGGAAGGAATTTCCTTTCTGGTCACCTGGAGCTCACCTTTCCCCACTCCACCCAGGGGGCGGGGCTCTGCCTCTGGCCCTGTAGGAAATGTCCAGAGGAGCCTATCAGGCTCACTCTTTCCCTGGTCGACAGCGGTCCTTGAAGCCCCGCTCTGGGGGGATCTTTCAACGGTGAGGGAAAGGCTCCTACCCTACTGTGTACTTTCTGAGGAATTTAGCTTTGAATTTGAAAATGATGTTAATGTTCTTGGTGCTCAGTTGGTTAGAGCGTCGTCCTGATAGGCCAAGGTTGTGGGTGCAATCTCCAGTCAGGGCACGTCAAGAACGAAGCAGTGAGTGCGTAAATGAGTGGAAGAACAAAATCGATGTTTCTCTCCTCCTCCTCCTTCTTTCTCAAATCAACCAATTGAAAAACATTCCTTTAAAAATCCATCTGGCACATAGACAATTTTTCCTAGCGCCTGAGATATCAGAGCAGTCGCCTACAACTTTCTACAGCTTTCTGGCCTTTATGGAACCCATTCAGAGTCAAGATCAAAGTCATTTGCAGTCGGCTAACTTGGGGTCCAAGTCAAGGTTAAGACATGGAGAGATTCTGACTTGGGGTCAAAATGAAGCCGCTGTGGTGTTCACTCTAGGACAAACAGACCCCTCTAGGCTGTTTGGAGAAACATTACTCTTGCTGCCTATTTGCGTATTCATTCACTGGAGAAATACCCCAGAAACTGCCAAAATAAAGTAGCAGGCACAGGCTGCGGAGGCTCAGGGGGCCCTCCTGTGACTGCTTGGCCCCGGCTGGGTCTCTGTCTACCCTTATCCCTCTCTGAACCCCTCTAGTCCTCTCAGGCTGTGTTCTCAGGAAAGCCTGTCGGTTGCAGGTCAGAATGTTCCGAATGGAAAGTGGAGAGCCATAGTTTAGCAAGCACGCTCTTCCCACTCTGCCACAGCCAGGCTGCCTCTCCCACTGCTGCTGTGTGACCTGGGCTGAGTCAGTCAGCCTCTCTGAACCTCCATGTCCTCCTCTGTCAAAATGAGGGAAATGGGACAGGACCGTGATGATCAGACAGGATTGCGCGGAGTGTTTGGTGAAGCGATGGATAGAACGCGCTTGGCACTTTTAGCCGTGACGATCGCGATAGGCCTGGGGAAAGAAAAGGAACCCTTCTTTTCGATACAAAAGTTGACTGTAAGCAGCAGAGAGAGGACGTATCAGTTTACACAGAGCATTGAGCGCTGAACAGACGTGTGCAGAGAGCTCCGAGATGTAGAGAGAACTGGGTCTTTGCAGGGTTTGCCCAGCCTGCGGCAGGCGCCCTGCGCTGGCCCACGGAGAGCGCCCCCTGTCAGCGGGGCCCTGCTGGGCTGCTGGCTGCGGGGAGACTGCACGCTCCCCAGGTCCCCTCGAAGTGTCGACACAGGGGACCCACACTCGCGACTGCCCTCCCATGAGTAAGTGAAGGCATGTTTTTCTGGCAAATTTAGATGATGCTTCAAATTTAAAAAGTAAAACATTAAAAAAAATTAAAAAAAGAAAAGCTGGTTTGCTAAATGCCAGCATGGAAACAATTTGAGGAACTCCTCGGTGAGCCCACCTCACAGAGTCCGGGCTCCGGCTGCAGAAGGGTGTGCTAGCTTCTCACGGCTGCTGTGATAACGACCAGGCACCAAGTGGCTTAAAACAACACAAACGGTCACCTTGCAGTTCTGGAGGACGGCGCTCCACAGCAGGTCGGGCTGGGCTGCAAGCTAGGTACCGGCAGGGCTGCGCTCCCCCGGGGGCTCCGGGCGAGACCTTCCTTTGCCTTCTTTAGCTTCTAGAGGCCGTCGCCATCCATATCCCTAGCCTTAGCCTCCTCCTTGGCCTTCGAAGCCAGCAGCATAGCCAGATGCTGGAGAGAGAAAGGGGTCCGTGAATGAGCGGAGGCCTCCGTGGACCTCAGGAGGGTGGGCTGTGCATGGAAGGGCTTCTAGGCCCCCAGGAACAAGGGGGGGGCCTGGAAGACAGAGCACAGAGGAACTCTGCTCTGTAAGAGGGGTACAGCAGGTGGGGCGACGGGCATGAGCCCAGGGGCCAGTCAAAGCTGAAAAGCTATGCCAGAGGCCGGGCAGCAGGGGCCAAAGAGAAGTCTGGGAGGGGGCGGGGGTGGAGACTGCTCAGATCAGAGAGAGGCTGAGATCGGGGCGGGGGGCGGGGGAGAGCGCAGGTGCCTCTGTGGACTGGGGGCTGGGCCACCCTCCTGGGGAAGCCCCTCGCCACCTCCTGGGGGGTCTCCTCTGCGCGGACAGGCCTCAAACATCTGCCACAGCTGCCTTGTGCCCCTGAACATGCCCTACGGTCCACCTGCAAGGTGAGGATTATTTGCCATCAAAAGCACCTGCTTTGTGAACACGAGTGTCAGAGGAGCAGGTGGCAGGCCCCTCGGAGAGCGGCGGCCTTCGTCCCCTCGGGGCCAGGTGACAGTGAACACACTCCCCTGCACACAGTGCCAGGGGAATTTCAGACTGGCCGAGGTTCAGTTTCGGCAGGTTGAGTGGAGCGGTGAAGCCCTGCTGGGCTGTGACAAGGTGCCCCTGTCCCCAGCCCTGGGCCCAAGGGAGTCCCAGCTCCCAGGGCGGAAGACCGTCTCAGTTTGGAAGCGAGCGGAGCTCTGGCGTCTGCTCCTCCAGGTGACTTCAATGTCAACGGCTTACCTTCCATGTGTGCCACTTTTAACGTGGCCATGTGCTACCTGTGCTATTAATACTTCCCACAGATTGGCTTTCATTCAGTTCTCTATTTTCATCCTAAGCATTAATATCTGCGAAGCTGCGGGTTTGATGTGCTAATTGGATTCTTCTACAACACACTATGTTAATTTTTCGAGGGTCTGGTGTGCCTCCTAAACTCAGCAGCCAGGCTCAGGTCCACCCCGCACACAGCTGCCAGGGTCCAGGGGACTCTCTGCGTTCTTCCAGATCCTATGAATGTTTCAAGAAACTCAGTCCCTCAATGTCTCTGCCACTACAGGGTTTTTGCTGTTGTTTTTTTCTTTTTTCTTTTTTAACAAGTGCTGTGTCTCCCTCTTGCACCCAAACCAAAGCGAAGTCCTGGCCTCCCCACCCCCGGTGCCCAGGCTCTGGGATCTCCCACCTCGCGCCAGTGTCCCGTTCTCTTTGGTGGTTTTTGCTCCCCTCTCGGCCCACTGCCCAGGCCCAGGCA